GCGTCCGCCGTGTGTGCGCGTGCGCCGCGTGCGTGTGCGTGTGTGTGTGCGTGCGTGCGTGCGCCGTGTGTGCGTGTATGCGTGCGTGCGTGCGTGCGTGCGTGCGTCCGCCGTGTGTGCGCGTGCGCCGCGTGCGTGTGCGTGTGTGCGTGCGTGCGTGCGCGCATTCGCCGTGTGTGAGCGTGTGCGCGTGCGTGCGTGCGTGCGCCGTGTGTGAGCGTGTGCGCGTGCGTGCGTGCGTGCGCCATGTGTGAGCGTGTGCCCGTGCGTGCGTGCGCCGCGTGCGTGTGTGTGTGTGCGTGCGCCGTGTGTGCGTGTGCGTGCGTGCGTGCGTGCGCCGTGTGTGCGCGTGTGCGCGTGCGTGTGCCGCGTGCGCCGCGTGCGTGTGTGCGTGCGTGTATGCGTGCGTGCATGCGTGCGTGCGTGCGTGCGTGCGTGCGTGCGCCGTGTTTGTGTGTGCGCCGCGCGTTTGTGTGTGTGTGTGTGTGTCTGTGTGTGTGTGTGTGTGTGTGTGTGCGTGCGTGTGTGTGTGTGTGTGTGTGTGTGTGAGTTTGTATGTGCGTGTGTGCGGGTGCGTTTGTAAACGGGGCATGAAGAAACCCGAAGTAACGACGACCACCACCACCATCATCATCATCATCAACACCAACAACAACAACAACAACAACAACAACAGCAGCAGCAGCGACGCCCACTACCCACTACTTCTCAACGGCGCAGTTCTTGTGCAGCGGCGACAGCGGCTTCGTCGTCGTCGCCGCCGACATCACGCCGAGATTTTCCTGCGCCGCGGCGACGGCCGCCGACGACGGCGCCGACAGCCGCGGATAGGCGAACCCCTCCTGATACACAGCAGGCATGATCTGCGGGGCCGCTTGTGACGTCAGACTGACGATCATTCTCTTCAGCTCCTCGATGGCATTTGCCTGCATGAGTATGTAGTTCTTCGCTAGCAGCAGGGTCGCTATCTTCGACAGCTTGCGAACCGACGGACTATGCGCGTACGGTATCACCGAGCGTAATTCGTCGAGCGCGTCGTTCAGGTCGTGCATGCGTCGGCGCTCGCGCGCGTTGATGCCGAGACGAACGTGCTTCTGTTTGCCGTTGCCTTTTAGCGTGGGTTGACCGTCGGCGCCCTGGTCGCCGTTGCCGTCGCCGTTGCCGTCGTCGTCGTCGTCGTCCGTCTTGTCGTCGTCGCTGCTCGCGTCGACGTTCGCGTTCTCGTTGCCGACGACGCTGCCGAGTGGCGCCCCCCGTCGGTCCGCCGTCGTCGGCTGGCGGTCGTCCCAGCGCGTCGTCGCCGACGTCGCGTCGTGGTGCGTCGCGCGGAAGCCGGACGGCATCTGCATGGCGACCTCGGCCGACATGCCGCTTTCGACGCGTTGTAGATACTCGCGGATGTGGTGACGCGGTTCCTCGAAGCCGCGACCGAAGTAGGGCGGCAGCTGGGTGGTGGTGCGGTTCATGTAGGCGTCCATCTTGGATAACGAACGTCTGTGTGTGTGTGTGTGTGTGTGTGTGTGTGTGTGTGTGTGTGTGTGTGCGTGTTTCACGAACAAACGTCTCTTCGTGTGTGTGTTCACAAATACACGTCGCCCCGTGTGTTCACAAATGAACGTTGCCCCGTGGGTTCACAAACGAACGTCGCCCCGTGTGTGTTCACGAACGAACGAACTCTGTGTGTTTACGAACGTCGGCGGTGATTCGGCCGACGGATAAGCACACCCTGCGTGAGCGCGCTCGAGCGTCAGACGGTCTCGCGTCGTTCACAGAATCTCCGCGCACCCAGGGTAGGACGTCGCCAAGGTTGTCGCCGATTATTATCTTTTGAGAGGGATTATCTTTGACGACGATCTTCGGAGATTTTTAATCTCTTGCGACGATTTGTCCAGTTAACTGATGCACGCACGTCTTTCAGATCGAGTCGGAGATTACCACCGACGACGTCGTTCAGGATTTTCCGTCTGTCTGTCGTCTTGCCGGAGGTGGATAATCTCGGGTGACACTGCCGCAACCAACAAACACCCTTTTCCACGTAGCGCCTCGTATGTAGAGAAATCCACGAGCCAGTCCTATCTATAGAGGCGTCTTCCTCTCTCTCGCTTTCTTTGTCTTTCTCTCTCTCTCTCCTTCTATCTCTCTTTCTCTCTCTCTCTCTCTTTCTCTCTCTCTTCTCTTGCGTGCTCTCTTGCTCTTTCTCTCCCTTCCTCTGGCTCTCTCTCTCTCTCTCCCTGTCTGTCTCACTTCTCTCCTCTCTCTGGCTCTCTCTCTCTCTGTCTGTCTCTCTTTCTCTCTCTCTCTCTCTTTCTCTCTCTCTTCTCTTGCGTGCTCTCTTGCTCTTTCTCTCCCTTCCTCTCTCTCTCTCTCTCTCTCTCTCTCCCTGTCTGTCTCACTTTCTCTCCCTCTCTCTGGCTCTCTCTCTCTCTGTCTGTCTCTCTTTCTCTCTCTCTCTCTCTCGTTGTGCGTATAATATGATGCCTTGTATGTGACTCTATAGCAGATCGTGGAGCGCAGGAGCTACAGGCACGCACTGTGTCACCACGCACACTGTGTCACCACGCACACTGTGTCACCACGCACACTGTGTCACCACCGCACTGTGTCACCTCCCGCTGCCTTAACACCGCAGCGACACACTCGTCCGTGCACCGCGACCGTCACCACCGGCGGACTGCTCTCTCCCGCTACGGCACTCACCTCCGTATAGCAGGAGTAACAGCCTCCTCTGAGTCTCTCTCTCGCTCTCCCGCGCTCTCTCTCTCTCTCTCGCTGTGAGTGTGTGTCTCCTCTCCTCGCCCGCACACACACGCGCGCGCTCTATCCCGCTCGTTCTCTCTCGCTGTGAGTGTGTGTGTCCTCTCCTCGCACGCACACACACTCTCTCTCTCTCTCTTTCTCTCTCTCTCTCGCTGTGAGTGTCTCTTCTCGCACACACACACACACGCGCGCGCGCGCAAGTTCGCCCTCCAGTTGGCCGTAAGAACGGTGCAGCGCTCTCAAGGCGTCAAATTACTGTCACAATAGGGAGGCGGCGAGTCGGATGAGAATCGATCGGCGACGTCGCGTTGACCAATCGCAGCTCGCGACGTCCGCCCGAGCAGCGAGAGAGCCGAGGATCAGACGCTGTTGATGCTCTTGTTATGTAGGCGTGCGTGCGTGCGTGCGTGCGTGCGTGCGTGTGCCAGGAACGAGTGTGTATGTGTGTGTGTGTGCGTGCGTGCGTGCGTGCGTGCGTGCGTGTGCCAGGGACGAATGTGTTTGTGTGTGAGACGAGGAGGTGAGTGTGAGGGGGAAGTGTGTGTGTGTGTGTGTGTGTGTGTGTGTGTGTGTGTGTGTGTGTGTGTGTGTGTGTGTGTGTGTGTGCTGTGTGTGTGGTGTGTGTGTGTGTGTGTGTGTGTGTAGTGTGTGTGTCAGGGAAAGGTGAGTGTGTAGGGGCTGTGTGTAAGGAGAAAATGTGTAGGAGATCTGCTCTAGAATATCTCCTCTAGAATATCTGCTCTAGAATATCTCCTTCTCGAATATGCTCTCAAGAATACTGCCATGCTAAGAATATCTCGTCTCTAGGATTATCTTCGCTATAGTGATGGCTCGTTCGTTGTCGTTTTTCTGAAAGAACCAAACGCTGTTGATAACGAGTTGTTTTTGGCATCGGCGAAATGTATTTGATTATATATATATATATATATACTATATATACTATAATACTATATAAATATAATGTATATGTATAGTATATACTTATACATAGTATAATAATAAGACATAATACTGCAAAAGAACAATGGGTAGAACCCCGTCAACTACGCATGAACTCAATATCTATGCTATCATACTCTATCTTATCTATTCTATCTATCTATGCCTATCTATCTATGCTATCTATCTATCTATCTATCAATCTATCTTCTATCTATCTATCTATCTTATCTATCTATGCTATCTATGCTATCTATGCTATCTATGCTAATCTATCTATCTATCTATCTATCCCTATCTATCTTCAATCCTATCTATATATATATATATAATAGTAATATATTATATCTTATGCTATCTAGTCTATACTATATATCTATCTATCTACTATCTATCTAATCTATGCTAATGCTATCTATCTTATCTATCTGTCTGTCATCTATCTATCCTTAATCTATCTAATCTATCTATCTATGTATTTATTTATCTATCTGTCTATGCTATCTATCGTATATATCTATCTCATGCTATCAATCTATCTATCTATCTATCTTAATTGGCTATTCTTATCTTTATCTATCTATACTATCTATCTATCTAAATCTGATCCTATTATCTATCTATCTATCTGCCAGCTAATCTATCTACCTATCTATCTATATATCTATCATCTATCTATCTAATATATCTATCTATCTATCTATGCTATCTATCTATGCTATGATATCTATCTGCCAGCTATGGCTATCTACGCTATCTAAATCTATCTAAATTATCTATCTTATCTATCTATTATCTATATAATCTATCTACTCTATCTATCTATGGCTATCTAATCTACTACTAATCTGGCCAGCTATCTATCTACGCTATCCTATCTATATACTCTATCCTATACTATCTATCTATTTATCTATCTATCTATCTATCTATCTATCTATCTATCTAATCTTATAATATGCTAATCTATCTATCTATTTATCATACTCTAATCTATCTATCACCTATCTATCTAATATATCTATCTAATATACACCACACATGCAGCCGCGCATGTTAACGCTGTTAATGGTGGTTATGGCTTTTGCATTGGAGATGCTAAGTCGACGTTTTCAGATTAGCACGATCGAGGTCACAAAACCTTTTTTAGAAAATCATTCGCATTCCGTATAATATAAGGCCGTAGATAAAAGCTATATAGACGTCGCTCGTGACATTCACGCGCGTCGGAACTTACGGACGTCGTCGGTCGTCGGCCGACTAATGCCTCCGACTCCGCTGTCCCCGACGACACCAGTGGCAACTTCCTAACGGCTCGCGAATGAGGCGTCGAGGACGTATAAACACGTTTAAATGCGATCGATTAGAATGTAATCAGTGCGTGATTTGTCGCGCGGGGGGTTTTATGCGATAAGATGCGCTTGCGAAGAGAGCGTAATATCACAACAATCACATACCAATAAAATTAGAATGCTATATATATATAATATTACAATACAATACAATACACACGAGCATGCACATACATACACACACAACACACACACACAACCAAGCACACACAACACACACACACACACACAACACACACACACACAACACCACAACACCACACCGGGCGGCGCACACACACACACACACACACACACACACTCACACACACACGCTTACGCAACACAGCCACCACGCCACCACGCACTCCAAAGGGGACGCACACGCACCACGCACACACGACACACGACCACACAGCACACACAGCACACACAACAACCACTAACACACACACACACACCACACCACACACACAGCACACACACGACAGCACACACACACACACCACACACAACACCCCACACGCATGCCACGCACGCACGCCACGCACGCACGCGCTGGACACGGCACCAACGCACGCAGAACCGCACGCACAGCACAACACACATACTGTGGCATGAGTGAAGGGATGCAATGTGCAGAGCTAGCTAGACATTCGTCGTGCTCCACAATAAGAAACTGAAATGAAGAAGTGACAATCTGACAGATGTAACTAAGAGGAAAATGTCTGCCTCGTCTCTCTCTCTCTCTTCTCTCTCTCTCTCTTCCGCTCTCTCTCTCTCCCTCTGTCTCATCCTTTGCTCTCTGTCCTCCCCTGACACGCTTTCTTTCTTCCTATTCTCTTGCATTTACAGCCGTATCTCTCTATCTGTGTCTCTCTTCTTCCGTCTTCTCTCTCTCATCTCATCTCTCTCTCTCTCCTTCTCTCTCAGATCGCTGCTGTCTCCGCGCTCTGTGTGTGTAATGTCTCTCCTTCTCTCTAACGCCGCGTTCTCTCTCACCGACTGATGACAGCAACGAAGCTTTGATGGCGATGAAACGCACGTCACAGCCGGCCCCCTCTCGACAGGCGCCTTGCAAATGCAATCCACACCGGCTAATATGCGCAGCGAGAGCGTTAACACGCACGCACGGCACGCAACGCACACTAGAGCACAACAGACACTTCACCTATGTATGCACCGCACAACGCGGCGCCGGGGTACGTAGCGTCAAGTAGTTACACCTTCACGTCAGATATATGCCACATGCACTGCTGAGCGTGGCATGGGGCCGCGAGAGCGGGAGAGAGATTGCTTATTAGCGTGCATGCTTGAGCGGCGG